TGCTGCTGACCAACTTTATGGAGATGCAGATTTCATTTTCCAGCAGGACTTGGCGCCTGCACACAGTACCAAAGTTACCAGTACCTGGTTAAGGACCATGGTATCCCTGTTCTTAATTGGCCAGCAAACTTGCCTGACCTTAACCCAGTCCTTCTCAAATAGTGGGGCGCCGGCCGGGGCAATGTCAGGGGGGCGCATGTGACCCTAGAAAACATGCTGTTTTTGCCGCAGGGAGTTTTTTTTTAACCATTCTCATTTTGTCGCGTGCGTTCCTAAGTTATGAACAAATATGGCTGCCTTGTCGTTTTGGGAGCCACGCATGACTCGTGTCTCTGCTGCTGACATGATAAATAAACTCAGACCGTCACCTCCTCCGCTGCTGTTACGGTGCACGCGCTCTGGACGTCACTCACAGCGCGCATGCAACAAAGAGTAAACTCAAGCGAGAGCGACACCTGCCCCCTCTTTCCTCTTTTGAGTTGACTAAATGTTTCAGTTTTATCGATGAGTTTGTCAAAACACAATTTACAGAAGTAATGTTTAATAAATGTTAGGACTCTACTAACAACATTAATTCGCCTCCTCAGTTCAGCTGCTGTTTTTATGATTCTCTGGACGCTTGTCACAGCTCGCAGGTGACAAAGAGTAAACTCAAAGCAAGATGATTACCTGCTCCGCTTTCCTCTTTCATGTTGACATTTTTTTGTGTGTTTTATCGATAAGTGTGCTCATTGATCCTGACTTCCTCATTTTGATAAAAATAAAATAAAAATAAAAAATCAGCATAAATTGTTTTGTTAATTATTGATTTTTTTAGGTCAATGTGTTTTTATATAACACTCCTGAGCTAAAATGTTGCTTATCAATTTGAATTTATTATTATTTATTGATTATATGTATCAAATGATCCAAAATGTTTACAGTTTAAATAATGATTGTTTTTTTTTTGTTTGTTTTTTTCAGGTAAATTGATGCACTGTAAGTTGTTTCTGTTACAGACTAAAAAACAATGTTAAACTTGTTCTTCCTTGTAAGTTGATCTATATTCTTTGTTCTTTATTTAATGTTAATAAGGACACAATGTTAGGCAGAGG